CAGACCCCACACCACCAGCTCACACCACCAGACCCCACACCACCAGCTCACACCACCAGACCCCACACCACCAGACCCCACACCACCAGACCCCACACCACCAGACACCACACCACCAGACCCCTCACCACCAGACCCCTCACCACCAGACCCCACACCACCAGACCCCACACCACCAGACCCCACACCACCAGACCCCACACCACCAGCTCATACCACCAGACCCCACACCACCAGACCCCTCACCACCAAACCCCACACCACCAGACCCCACACCACCAGACCCCACACCACCAGACCCCTCACCACCAGACCCCACACCACCAGACCCCACACCACCAGACCCCTCACCACCAGCTCACACCACCAGACCCCACACCACCAGACCCCACACCACCAGACCCCACACCACCAGACCCCACACCACCAGACCCCACACCACCAGACCCCTCACCATGACCCCACACCACCAGACCCCACACCACCAGACCCCACACCACCAGACCACCATACCACAGACCCCACACCACCAGACCCCTCACCACCAGACCCCACACCACCAGACCCCACACCACCAGACCCCACACCACCAGACCACCATACCACAGACCCCACACCACCAGACCCCTCACCACCAGACCCCTCACCATGACCCCACACCACCAGACCCCACACCACCAGACCCCACACCACCAGACCACCATACCACAGACCCCACACCATTACCCCACACCACCAGCTCACACCACCAGACCCCTCACCACCAGACCCTGTCCCGCCTCACACTCAGCGCCCACCGGGCCTCACGCCGCGGGCCCCCACCTCGTCCTGTGCAAGTTGCGCATCTTCTGCACGTACAGCCAGAGCTCCAGGCCCACCGGCAGCAGCAGCGGGCGGGGGCGCGGCGCGCCATACACAACCTTGCACACGGCCTTCTCTGCCAGGCTCAGGGCCAGCGGCGGGCCCTCCACGGGGGGAGCGGGCATGTCAGGGTTCGGGTCGCGGGGTCATGCCAGCCCAGGCTTCTGCCCCCGCGGCAGCAGACTCCTGGCCCTCCCCTCCGGCAGCTTCCTCCTCCCCAGGATCTGAGGCAGATTGGGGATCAGGAAGGCTCAGAGCACTGACAGCTGGGGGTGGGGGAGCCCAGGTAATCCCTGCCGTCCTCCTGTTCTGGGGGGGAGGGGCAGAGGCATCTGCGCTGTAGCATGTCCTCCTCCCCAGCGAACCTTTCTGCCGGTCAGAGCCCAAGGCCAGTTCCGGGGCCAGCTGCTGGGGGGACCAGGTACTTCCCACGGTGGGCGCTGGCCAACATTGCTGGCAGGGTCGGTGCCCAGCCCCGCTCCGCACGTGTGCCCATAGCTGGCAGACAGCTGAGCTCTCCCACGGCGCGCCTTCCAGGAGGGCCCATCCCAGGGGTGGGCAAGGCCGCGCCGGGACCTAGTGTGCTATCTACCCTCAGCCTGGCCAGCTCTGTGGCCTCGCTGGCACTGGCACAGGTGCCCAACATGGGGGAGACCCCACCGCCCCATAGGACACCCCCAGCTGGACGTGTCCACCCTCGCAGGACATCTGAGGTGAGGCCCAAGACCCTGTGGGCCACACAGGGTCTGGGAGCAAGAGGGAGCCCCAATATCTCTGAGCTGGACAGTGGGCACAAAAGGCCCAGGTGCATCCTGGCCGGTGCCCTGGGGTGGAGGGGTCTCCCGAGACTGAGCAACAGCGTGGGGCCCTGGTATGGGGACCCTGGCGCCAAGGACGCGAGGGTGGAGGCCTAGGGTCACCTTGGGTCTCAGCCGGGGCAGCAGCCCCAGGAAGGCCCTGACGAACCCCTCCCTGTCCCATGACCATGATGGTTTTTCCTGGCCTAGCATGGACCTCTTGGCCAGTCCCTGCAACAGGCAGCCGTCCCCGGCTCCCATGTGGACCACAGGCTTCCTTGATCTGCATGCAACCCAACCTCTTCTGCCTTCTTGGGGGCCAGGCCAGCACAGTGAGGAAGATTCTGGAACTCTGGCTCTCTGCCCTACCCCTGCAAGCCTGCAGAGTATGACTGGGTCGGTCCCCTGTCGGGTGCCTGTTAAGCACTGGCCACTTGAGGGGCTGCAGACGGATGCCAGGCTCTCTGGGCCTCTGGAAGACCTGTCCACCTCAAGGGCTACGGGCTCTCTGGGGCCGGGGCTTAGCCCCTCCCATCAACCTAGGTGTGGGCCGCGTGTCTGAGATTTGCTACCTTGCTAAGCAGAGCGACATAGATGAATTGAAAACCAACAGTGCCTGACCTCCCACCACACTGCAGGCTGGGGACCAGCCGGCTGACCCTCTCTACCCACAGGTTCCGCTCAACCCACGCCTCAGATCCTTCCTACTGCGTGGCTGCCTGTGCCAGACCACAGCAGCCGGCCAAGATCCCTCTGCTGCCTGCTGGTGACCTGTCAGCGAGGGCTCAGTGATGCGGGGCCAACCTTCTGGTGGCCAGCCTGTGGCTAGCACACCCTGCCCATACCCCTGTGGCTGGCCTCCACACCCAGCACGGGCGCTGGTAGAAACCAGCAGCCCATGGCTCCATTGCTCTTCAGTGCCTGCTAGCCCCAACTGTTTGCCCCCACCGGGCTCCCGGTGTCCTGGGGTGTGCCACCAGGCTGGCTCCTTAGCCAGGGTCCCAGCTCCTACCACCTGTGGCTCTGGGGGTGTTGTCCTGGTGCCCGTCTGCCTGTGTCCTGCCCACCTCCCCCTCTCTGGCCTGTTACCACACTGGTCCCTGGCCACTACTCCAGGCTCACAATCAGCCTCAAGTCCTCCCCCATCGTCCCCTCCCTCCTGGCCAAACCACTCTGAACTTTGGTGCAGGGTGGAGGGAGCAGGTACAGACCTGTGGGGGAGGGTGGGGGAGTGGGGACCGCTGGGAAGGAGGGGAGCTCCCAACTCCCCTCAGGACATTCTTGAGGGCCATGCTTACAGGAGGTCCCAGAGCTGGGACAGGGAAGGGTCCTGATAGTGGTGGTTCCCTGAGGTCCTGCTGGGGCAGGAAGGCAGAGACGGTGCCGTGTGGCCCCAGGGACCCCGCGTACATCTGAGGATGCTCCTGTGGGCCGCCCCAGGGCAGGGCCACTCCAAGATGGCCCCTGCCTCCCCTCCCCTCCAGCCTCACTGAGCAGGGGCCTGCAGGGGGAGGGGCCCCTCGCCCTGCCCACTGAGTCCCTCAGCGCCTCCACCCCTGGCCTTCCTCTGAGATTGGGGGCCCAGAGTCAATAGGCCGGGTTCCATCCATCCCCCGGCACATGGCCAGTCTGCAGTTTTTCCCAGCACAGCCTCCACCTCTGATAACCAAACTCTCTCCAGACAGGGACTTGTGGAAGGAGAAGCTCCTGGGAGGGGCAGAGGCGAGGAGAGCCTGTCCCACGGACTGTCCTCTAGGATGCCCACCGTCCGGCATCCAGGCACAGGGCACCACAGCCCCCCTCCCAGCAGCCACCAGACTTCCCCGGACACGCTGGGCTCCACAGGAAGGCAGGGCTGGAGGGTGCCGGGCTTGCTCCCCCTCCTCAGGACTCCCTACTGCTCCACGTGCTCCACAGCCCAGCTCCAGAAGCGCCACCGTCCACTTTGACCAGCCACTGGCTGCCCGAACTCATCTGTGACTGTGGTCAGGTAGGGCCCAGCCTCCCTGCAGAACTTCTTCCATAGCCCTCAAGAAAGGCACGTGCCATTCACCCCAAATCTGGGTCCAGGTCGGCCTTTAGTTCAGTTTGTGTCTTAGCTTGAAGGGGTGCCGTCAGGGCTTGAGTGACCTCTCTACCTGACCTGCCCAGTGCTGACCCCCAGGCCAGCATTGTCTGGAGTGTCCACCCCCGGCCCGGCTCCCAGGCGGGGCCTGACGGCGACAGACGCAGGGTGGAGGCCCCGGCCCCCTTCCCCAGGACCACCCTCTCCCCGTGTGCAGGCCGGTCCCGCACTGCGGCCTGGTCAGCTCCTGCCACAGAGATGGGTGACCCGGGGACCCCTGCCACCCTGTGCGGCCCCCATTCTGCTCCGGAGACCCTGGGATGAACCTTTGAGACAGGCCTCCTGTGTGAGCTGCCTGCAAACCTGTCCCTGTCACTCCTGCCACACCCCTGCCCCTCGGAGGCCCAGAAGCCAGACCAGGGGCTCAGCTGTGGACCCCAGGCCACACAAAAGAGGCTGTCTTTGAATAGCAGCACAGAGCAGAACAAGATTGGGGGGGGGAATGAGGCCGTCCACTGGCCTCTGGGCCTCTTGGGGTGCCTGGCTGGTGGATGGCTGGGCTGGGCCAGACTTGCTGGGGGAGGCTCCTGGGAAGGGGGACTGCTGGAGTGATCCGAATGGCAGCCCCCGAGTTAGAGGCCACTGGGCGCTGGACCTACCCCGGGGCCGGGGCCAAGGCGCGGCCCTGCCCAGCACTCAGCTCTGCCCCCTGAGTGGACTGGGAGCTGCTGGTCCCTCTGGGGGCCTCGCACGGCTCCCCAGGCTGGGAGTCACCGGGCAGGCACGCAGCCAGGGGCCGGGCCACGCCAACGGCGTGACGCACAGCGGGACCCATCGCCTGCGAGCCGCCTGGGGCGCAGGTGTCTTTTCAGGAAGGCACACACCCACTAGGCTGGAGGGGCCCCAGGTCCAGCTGGCGTGGGGCTCAGGGATGGCCAGCGGGCAGGGCCCAGGCCCTGACAAAGGGGGTCTGGCCGTGCTGCCCTGCACCAGGTCAGACTAGCCAGGTTGGGGGCGCCAGGCACCCGGTGGCATGCATGCCTGGCCCACCCCTGTGGCGCGGGCGGAGGGCCGCAGCCTGCGCCTGAGACCCTGGCCTTGGGCCGGCTGGCCGGGACCACGTCCCCATCGCCGGTCGGGAGGGAGGCGCGGCCTGGCCACGTTGCCTGAGCCCTGCCTGAGCCACCGCCGCCTTTGTTCCCGGCTGCCCGCCGCCCGCAGCCCGCCGGCCCGGCCCTCCGCGGTCCCGCCCGCTCCTGACTACAGCCGTCCGGTACCTGGAGTAGAGGCGCCTGGTGGCGGGGCCCGGTAGCTCCTCGGCCGCAGGCGGGGCGGGGCTTGCCATGGGTCGGGGCGCCCAGAGCCGAGCAGGCCCTCCTCGCCCTCCCTCCTGTGGCCGCCTCTCCGCCGTCCGCGCGCGCGTGTCTGCCTGTCCTTCTGTCTGTCTGTCTGCGCGTCAGCGCCCGCAGGAGGCGCCGAGGAAGTGATGTGCGCGGGACACCGCCACCCCTCCTGCGCCGCGCTGTGATGTCATCGCCGCCCGGACGGGGGCGGGGAAGGGAGGGGGAGGGAGGGAGGACCTGGGACGCCCACCCGCCGGCCACCACAGCCCAGCGGCTGACCACAGAGGGCTGGCCTGCCTCCCCCGCGGGGTGGGCAGGAGGGGGGAGGCTCGGTGGAGGAGGGGCAGGGGCTTTGAGGCTGGGGTTGGCACAGGCACTCTGGAAGGCCTCAGTCCCCCAAGGGGTCCCCCTCATCCCAGGGCTGAGCATGGCTGCCCGGCCCTGGGTGGTCCACGCCCTCCTGGCCCTGCTGCGGGGTACAGGCCTTGGGATCCCTCTGCCTGCGTAAGCTGACCACGCATGCCTAGCTGCCTAACTGTGGGACCCCATGCCCTGGGGCTATCCCTGGGGCTGCCCCTCCCAGCCTTGGTGTCCTGATGGATGGGGGAGGAGTTGGGGGGCTCACAGGGAGGGCAGACGGGCCCCGTCCCGGGACCCCAGGGAGGTCCTGACCCGTGAGTGCTTCCTCACCACCCTCCGCGGCGACTGAGGCTCATCCTGGGCCTGCTCCCTGCCCGGCACAGCCAGCGCTGCAGGGGCCCCGGGCAGTTGCCCAGCTGAGGTCTAACCTGGCTCTGGCCCGCTCCCTGACCCCGATCTCAGCCCTCCTGGCATGGCTGGAGACCCCGGAAGAGTGGCCGTGAGCCACAGCGGACAGGAACAAGTCTGGGGGTGAAATGACTCCCAGGATCACCCCCGTCCCTCCCCAGAGCTGCCTGAGCCCGGGGGAGAATGCCAAGGCCACCCTGGCCAGATTCTCACAGACGCTGCCCACGGCACAGTGGCTTCCTGCACAGGAAAATGGCAACAAAAATAAACACAAGATATACAAGGCTCTGTTGGCCCTGAGTTGGTTTGTTTTTCCCAGGGAAGAGAGGCAGCAGGCAATGAGAACCATCTGTGCCTAGAGCGATGTGGCTCGGGCTGGCGGTGTCCCCCATGCCTCCCCCAGGATGGCGGTGTCCCCCGTGCCTCCCCCAGAGACCGCGGGAGTGGGCAGGCCCGGCCCAGGCCTGACCCCAGCAGGGAGCCATGGCTCAGGGCTGGGCCTCCTCCTTGCTGCCTCCTAGGGCAGGAGGCCCACCTGGGGCAGGCCTGGCTCTGGCCAATACAGGTCACTGAACCCTTTAGTGGGTGTGGGGGGGAGGGGTGCCTGGACCACAGCAAGTGGTAGAGGGCATTTCCCTTCTTCCTGGAGACAGAAAGGTGGGGTCTCATCTCAGCAATCTCAGGCAGGGACACTAGTGTGGGCTCCGGCACTGCATGGTGCCTGGCTGAGACCCCACTGCTGTGTGGCTGGTGCAGGTGGTTTTCCCTCTCTGAGCATCGGTGCTATAGCCTTTGAATGAGGCAGGCAGCACTGAAGGCTGAGGTTCGGGGCCTCCCCCGAGCAGCTCCAGTGTCTGCACACACGTTGATGGCCACCTACCCTGTGGAAGTGCTGGACAAGGGGTACCCGGCGGGATTGGGGCACAGGACCCACCAGAACTGCGCAGTGGGGTGCTACCCACCCCGGGACCAGTCCGGAGACTCCTGAGGCTCCTCCCTGAGGGGGCAGTACACACCATTCCCAAGGGAAAGGGGGCGCCCAGGCAGGGCAGGAGGATGGGTCTGGGGAAAGCAGAGCTCCAGACTCCCAACCTGCCATTCCCACCCTTCCCGCCCCTCTGGTGCTGACCAGGACCTGCCATGGCCTCTGTGCCACCTAGGCCCACCCCCCAGCCACTCAGGCCTCACAAACAGCCTGGCACCTGCCACATGGCTCTGTGGGTCCCCCGTGGGCACGGTGCCCGCAGGGCAGAGGCCTCTCCTGCGGCCAGGCCCTCAGGGGCCTGATTCCCAAAGGATCTTAGAAGACAGTTTTCCATTCTGAGGGTGCCTTCTAGCCCCAACCAGCGGCTCAGCCAGAGCCCAGCTGGGATTATAGCCGGGCGTCAGCCAAGCCATGGCATCCAGAGCGCCAAGGCCTTAGTGTCAGCCGCCAGCGCCTCCCCTGTGGCCACTTGCCGCGAGCCTCCTGAGATCACTCACCGGTGGCATGCGCTCTCCCACCTGGGGGACAACGGTCCCGCCCAAGACCGCCCGCCAGGCTGCGGGGAGCGGGGCTCAGCCTTGGTTTCCTGACTCTACACCCAGCCTCATCCTGAACCAACACGCAGAGATGGCGGCAGGGCAGCTCGCGGGCTCTGAGCTCTGGGCGGGGGGAGGCCGGGCTCTGAGCGGCAGGCAGCGGCTGCTGTGGGCCCTGGTGAGAGCCAGGAAGGCCGAGGGAAGCCATGGCCCAAGCCACTCCAGAACAAGGCACCGTGGCAGCCCCTCTGGGCACGGCCCGCCCCCTAGAGGGTCACATTGTCCCAGAGGGTGTCCTGATCCGCCCTCCTCCCCTGCCCTCTGCAGGGCCCAGGGCAGCGGCGAACACCCCAGGTGCCCACCGTGGAGGTGCCCAGCCCAAGCCAGGGACTACGGCTCCTCACCAGGCTCTGCCATACACCTTAAGGTGGAGTGGGAGAAGGGACGTAGAGTGGATGGGGTGGGGGAGAAAGAGAGAGGGTAATGTGCCCATGGGCACACGCGCACACGCGCACACATGCGCCCCACTCTACTGCTACTTCCAAGTAATCTTCAAGGCTGGGCCAGAGCCTCGCCCCCCCTCGGATGGGGCCTGCCCCGCTCTCTGCTGCCCTGCGCCCCCGGAGCCAGTGCCACCCCCGCTGTGTCCTTTCCTCAATGGCCTCAGAGTCCCCAGGGAGCAGGGCTGAGCGGCCCGGCGTGGCCCCTGTGGGAGCCACAGAGGACACGGGAGATGACACTCGCGCGCACAGGAAGGAGCTTGAGGAGTCATGGGGCAGCGGCAGCTCCGGGCGGGAGGCTGGCCCCGTGGCATTCCTGGGGAGCTGCTGGCAGCTTTGTCACCGGTGACGTCCCCAGGGCCTGAGGCATAGGCGGGCACACTGGAAGCAGTCACTGCTCAGTCACCTGTGGCAGGGTATCTGTGGTCTTGGCTGGCCTCCTGCCAAGCTGTGCCCGTCGGGCCTGGCAGAGGGATGCGCACGCACACACACACACACATGCACACACATACATGCACGCACGCACACACGCCCGCATGCACACACACACGCACGCGTATACACACACGCACGCACGCACGTCTCCTCTGCAAGCCTCTATACTGACCCCAGGCCCAGTGACAACTGCTGGTTTCCACAGAGACCCTGAGCTGCCCTCAGCCACCTCCTCCTCCTGCCCTCAGGCCTGCTTCGTACAAAATCAAGATAGGAGCCGGGCACTGGTGGTTCTCAACTGGAATCCTAGCTGCTCAGGAAGCTGAGACCTGAGGATCGCGGTTTGAGAAGTCAGCACAGGCAGACAAACCCGAGACTCTGATCTTGTTTACCAGTAAAGAGCTGGAGCTGGAGGGGCAGTATGGTGCCATCCTTGGTTGAAAAAGCTAAAGGAGAGCACAGGGCCCTGAGTTCAAGCCCCAGTACTGGCACAACAATCTAAAAAACAAACCATCAGGATAGTCCACAGGACATGGTCCAGGCCCCACGGCCCCTCTCCGTTTGGCACTGACAGCGAAGTTCAGAACCAACCCATTTTATGCTTAGGGGCAAGAGTGCAGCTCTGGTCCCAGGTGCCAACACCCCCCGATCTGCAGCAGCCCTGGAGCCCGGACGGGCGGGGGCCGGGGACAGTTAAAATGTGGATGAGGCTGCGGGCGTCCGCTGAGCTTTGTCGTGTGAGGCAGACCGGTGTGGGCGGCCGCTGCTTTCCTGGAAGCTCCAGCTTGTATTCTCTGATGTGTGTTTTGTACTGGGGCTGAACTTAGGCCTTGGCACTTGCTGGGCAAAGCCTCTATCACTTGAGCCAAGCTGCTGCTGCCCCTTTCCCAGCCTTTGTCAATCCTGGGGGCTTGAACTCATTGTCCCTGAGCTGTTTTGTGCTCACGACTACTGCTCTATCACTTTGAGCCACAGCGACACTTGTGGCTTTTTGGTAGTTTAATGGAGAGAAGAGTCTCATGGACTTTCCTGCCCTGAAAAGATCTTCCTGAGTAGCTTCCTGGGCAGCTAGGATTACAGGCGTGAGCCACCGGTGCCCGGCAGCCACTTCAAGAGCTGAGTCTCGCTGTGTAGCTGGGCTGAAGCACATTGATTGCCCTTTACCCAGGTGGAAGGAAGCCGAGGAAGCCGAGGGGCTGAGTCCCCTCTGCACTGCCTCGGAGGCTTCGGATGCAGGTGGCCACGTTTCTGGGCTGCGCTAAGCTGTGCCACCTGTGAGGCCAGCTCCTCCTCCCCCCTCCAGCCTTCCACAGCTGAAGGCGTGGCCAACAAGGCACCATTGCCCCGGGCCCCTTCCCTGGGTCCCATTCCAGACACACCCGCTGCCAGGGCGGACGTGCTGGACCCACTCCACCCGATGACGGGCCGACGTGACTTCGAGCTACAGGTGGCCGGAGCGTGCCGCGGGTGTGGCCTGTGCTGCTTCCAGGGCCTGAACTGGCTGCTCTCTCCCGGAGGCAGGTGCAGGTTCAGATCACGGCCTTTACTGGGGAGGGGAGGCCCAGCAGCGCTCCTGCCCTCGGGCCTCCGGAGCTGGTGTGGATGAGACCTCCTGCCAGTGCTGGTGCCTGAGCCCTGGCCTCTGCATCGCCGTCCTCACCGGCGCCCATCACCTGCCACCTCGTCCATGGACAGCCTCCCACAGGAGGCTTTGAACAACGTCTGGGTGGCAGGCGGGACGGCAAGGCATAGCTCCGGGCAGGACTGTAAATATGGACCAGGATTGGCGATGGCAAGCAGAATGCAGGGTGACAGACGGCTCTCTGGGGAGAGGCTGGGCCAAGGCGCCCCGCTCCGGGGGAGGCTGCCATCTGGCTGCTGCCCAGCCAAGTTCTCCGCACCTCGGCCTGCTCCTCCACCCCAGGCTGCCCT